ATTTAAGATTAGCTAGTAAATAATAATTAGTTAATGTTGTTCATGAGACTAAAGTCATCTCACTATGGTAATGTAAATATAATATGGCCAATATTATAGTATTGTCAGATTATTATGATACACATATATATATATATATATATATATATATACATATACATATATATATCTGTATCTATATGTATGAAAAATTCAAGGCTTTTTAATTCAGTTATACAGATCTGTAGATAGACTCTGACGTATGTATTAACCCAATTCCCCCCCAAAAAAGCAATGACATTCAAATCTTGAACCCATATTTTATTTTCAATAGAGCACAACAACCATGTTGACACAGAGTCATTTTACTATTTAATGAATATGTATATATATAAAATACATAATTGGATGGAAGCAACACATCTCCAAAGCTGCCACAGGCAACAAAAGGCTGAAAAAGTAATTAGTACTCAAAAGAAGCAGCTACAGGCACATTTTTCAAACTAATAAATAACATGATAGGGTTTTTTTAAGCATCTGAGAAAGTTTCTCAGAAGTAAAGATGGATCGACGTCTACAATTTGTGTAACAATTTCAGAATCATGTTGGAAATGTAAAGAACAAGTGAAAATCACTGCATATATAATCTGAAGCAAGGCTTGTGATTGGCCACCATTACTATATAGGTTGCATCATCACCTGTTGCTCTTGCCAGAACTTGATGTAGACTCAGAAAGGCTTATGTACAAGGATAATTGGAGTCTCATATGAAAACCTGTCTTCAGTCAGACTTCCACCAAAAACAATTACTAATTATTTCTGCCACTTAATGGCTACTTTGTCAGTGTTGGGTTTTAACTATTTTATATAATAGCAGACAAGCTTTTCCATTTTTTTGTTTTTAGACTCCATCAGTTATTTTATTGCCATGTAAACTTTGGTATTTGATAATGAGGAGGTGCCAAACGAATTTCAAGTTGGTGGGATTGCTGTTTTTAAGTTTCTCATTTGGCTGGTTGTGTATTGTAACAGCTTAGTTTGGTTGTGCTGCAACCAAACCAAACTAAACTTGGTTGCATTACGTTGATGCTTTACAAAACTGTTTTTATCAGGGCGATAAATGAGGAAATCCTGCGTAATGTTGATCTAACTGAACATTTCTCAGGGCTGTATCCATTACATTAAAAGTCTATAGATATCAGGTTTAAAAAGAGTATGGTTCATTTTCATGAAAGACTCACACAGTCCAAGTTTGTATTGGACTGAAAGACTGGTGCATGATGGTTATCTGAACTGACACATTTCTAATGGTGCACTGTGTTTTAATGGAAAAAGGGAAGAAAACTACACAGGTTAAAGATCATGCATAATTCAACTTGACAGACAACTGATTTAACAGTTATTTACATCAATGATCTTTAACTGATGCCTTTGATTTTTGATGGTGAATCTATAGGTTTCAGCTTTATTTGTTGCTGCATTTTTCAGCTATTTGCTACAAATTCTGCACACACAACTAGTGACATGATTGTAGGTGTAATATCTGGCAGTAAGGTCAAAGCAACGCAGGGTCAGTGATCTCCATTCTGAGAGGTCTTCCTGACAGCATCTGCTCTCCTGCTGGACTAGCAGGTCACCCTGTAACACAACTCTGTGGGGAAAGGCGAAAAATGGGAGAAGAGGAGAGTAAATTGGATTTATGATGACAGAAAATACAGGAGGGGACTTTTGAGTCCTCATTATGGACACTAAACAGTCTCACCTTGGCTGAGATGTACACTGTCCCTGACAGACAGGCATCTGTATGACTGTGGTACAGTTATCAATGGTGATGTTGACACTGGAGACCCTGGGAATGCATGTTTGGTTGCCTGGGGTGGAAAGACATAGTGGACGAAATAATTACTTGATCAGCTGCTGAATTTGAAAGTTTCCTGACTTTCTCTGGTTTTTATGGTAATTTGATTCTAATTGAGAGAGAAAAAAATATCAGAAAAACAGCATTTCATAGAAGTTGTAAACTGAGATGCATGTCATTAAGTGAAATAGTAATTTGATATCCTACAACGCCACAGATTGGCTGTGTGTCCATGTGACACACAGATTACAATCAATCAATTAAAGAAGCTTCTGGATTGGAACAATGGAAGAAACAAAAATAAAGCCTATGTGGCAGCGCCTAAAACTGCATTCTATCTGAAAGCCACTAGATGGCTGCAAAGGGACTTGCAAGGCTATAAAGGTCTATGGAAAAACAGCTTTCTCTATTGACTTTTGTAAAAACGTTCCTCCTGAGCTCAGCTTGTTATGTGTAGAAAGCATATCTGGCCACAGAATAACGTTCTTCTATTCAAACCTCTTCACCACCACGGGCAAGACCAAAGAGATGTACCTGGGGGCAAATGCACAGCCTCATCTTCTGTTTGCCAGTAAACAAATAAATGTGTTAGAGAAGGCTTGGAAGTAAGTGTTGCTGTGTTTGGAGGAAGAGAAATGCTGAGTGTGACTCAAAGAACAGCATCCCCACAGCCAAGCATGGAGGTTGAAACGTTATGCTTTTGGGCTGGTTTTCTGCTTGACGGTAGAAGATGATTTCCAATGGACCAATGGACGGGTCCATGTAAATCTTGGACACAAGAACCTCCTTCCTTCAGCCAGAACACTGAAGATGGGTCGTGTATGGATCTTGCAGCATGACAATGACAAAAAAACATACCACCAGGGCAACAAAGAAGTGCTTCCAGCCCCCTGTCCTATGGAAAAAGCAGCCAAGCAGTGGCCAAGAAATCTAAGGGATTTGGAGCATTTCTGTACAGAGGAGTGGTCCAAAATGCCTCCTGAGATGTGTATTAAATAAAATTAAAGAAATAATTATTTTACTCTGCGACATGCAGACCAAGCAAAACATTTATGTAATACTTTTTTTTCCAAATTTCTGGTTGATATTCTGTCTCTCTCAATTAAAATGAATTTGCCATAAAAATTATGTTTGATTCTTTGTAAGTTAGCAAACTCACAAATGCACAATAGTGTTTTTTGCAAATATAGCAATTACAAATAACTACTCTATTTTGTTACTTCTGACTTTTCTTACATGTAAAGCAGCAATGTTTGTCATCCCAAATTCTGTCCTCCTAGAGAAGAAAAAAATCAATTGGCATGGTTAAATCTTTTCCTTTTTTCTAGACGATTAATAGACATTTGTAACAGGTCATCATGTGTGTGTATTTCGTCTCCCTCTTCTGTTCCCATCTTCCCCCAGGAATGTGTTTCATTCCTTGTCTTCTCTGTCATGTGCATCCGTGTCTTTTTCTTCCCCGACCCCAGTGTCAAGCCGTGTGTCTATGTCGTAATGTGCTTGCTGTTTTATTTTGACAGTCTTGCGTCCTGTTTTCAGTGTGTTTAGTTTTGCTTCCCCCATTTCTCGTAACATCTAATTTGTTCCTGACATAGATAGTCTCAAATGTGAATAAAGTTTCTGGGTTAAGAAAACATTGATTTAAATCGGCTTTCTATCTGAAGGCCACCAGATGGCAATAGTGCTATAGAAGTCTATGGAAAAACAGCTTTCTTTCTTGACTTTTGTCAACACTTTGCTGTTGAGTTTCTGGGCTCAGTCACTTGTTTTTGGTCATACTGAATAAAAGGTGAAGTCTTTTTTTTGTAAAACTGCCAGAAAATGTTTAAAAATTAAAGATTATTGCTAGTATGTAATTGGTAAATGGTAAATGGACTGGTTCTTATATAGCGCTTTTCTACTCTGTCCGAGCACTCAAAGCGCTTTATACAGCTTTATACAGCTAATTCATTCACCCAATCACACCCATTCACACAAGCACTTCTAAGCTTAAGTGCTAAGTATCTAACATTCATACACATTCACACTCAGATGGACGCATTGGAGAGCAACATGGGGTTAGTATCCCATGGTTAGTGGGTGATCCGCTCTGCCACCTGAGCTACAGCCACCCCGCAATTGAATGCTCATTGGCTAATGAGCTGTCAATCACAATCATTAGCTAGTTAGCATGTTGTTTCTTAGTCACAAGCAGACTTCGCAACCAAGATGTTAGTGGTGGAAATGTTTAACTGAAGGTTTCAAAACAGGAAACCAATGGGAGATGTGACAGTAGCTATGCCCATAATGTCTGCGGTTTCTCTGTTGGCTCTGTATTACCTCTTTGCTACATCAGATCAACTGCAAAATAAATTGAAATGTGCCATAAAGCTTTTTT